GGCGGCTAAGTGCAGCAGTGGCAGGGGAAGAGTAGCGTGCAACTACAGCGTCGTACAAGGTCTTAGCACTCTTGTACTGGCTAAAGTGCGCACGCTCAGCGGTCGGCAAGTGGCGGCGCACAGCAAGGCGGGCAGCAGCATCGCGCGTGGCCCACTGGGAGCGAACAGTGGGGTCAGCATCAGCAGCAGGGGCAGGAGAGGCACCAGAAGTGAGGTCAAAGAGGGAGAGGCCGTCTGCTCTGTTCCTCAGTAGGAAAAGCTGCAGGTCATCTACCCAGACGTCAAAGTCAATGGCCCGGCCCTCAGCGTCAAAGGTGAGGACACTGGGGGAAGCCATGACAGCAGTAGACTAGCAGTGAGAGCAGCAGGCAAGGGCAGAGCAGTGGTGGAGGCGCTGCTCTTACCGGGCAGGCGAGAAGGACCGAGGCGCGCCGGCAGGAACAGGGCCGCGACAGCAGGAACGGCGGCTCGGCGGCTCAGCGGCTCGGCAGCTCAGCGGCGGCGGCGTCTCGGCGGCTCGGCAGCACGGCGGCAGTGGCGGCTCGGCGGCTCGGCAGCTCGGCGGCAACGGCGGCTCGGCGGCGGCGGCGTCTCGGCGGCTCGGCTGCTCGGCGGGGCCGCGAAGGTGTGGCGACGGGGCCGCAAAGGGCGGCGGTGGGGTCGCACGGGTGGGGCGACGGGGTCGCGGGCGGCTGCGACGACAGGGGTCGCGAGCGGCTGCGACGTCAGGGTCGCGGGCGGCGGCGACGGTGCGGCGACAGGGTCGCGGGCGGCTGCGACGCCAGGGTCGCGGGCGGCCGCAGCGGTAGGGTCGCGGGCGGCCGCGGCAAGGGTCGCGGGCGGCGCGAAGGGCGACAGGGCCGCGACGGGCGGCGTCGGGGTCGCGGGCGGCTGTAACGACGCCGCGCAGGGCGACGCGAGGGTGGGGCCGCGGGGTCGCGAGGGTAGGGCCACGGGGTCGCAAGAGCAGGGCGTCGGGGCCAGCAGAGGCGGCGCCGGGGCCGAAAGAGCGGCGCGACGGGGCCGCTAAGAGAAGCGGGGGGGAGGGGAGCGCGACTCGGGCAGGGGCGGAGTGCGCTCCGGGCAGGAAAAAAAAAATCTTACGGTGGGCCCTAGGAACAGTTCCCACGAGGGAACCTGCTCTATACCATGTGAAAATTAGAACGAGAATGGTTGCATTGAGCAGCATGAGGAGTACAAGTACCAAACCCTAGAATGTTGTACCCCATATAAGCTACCCCACTACAGCCTACACAGACTATATTGTATAAGTTTGACAGGAAGAGCAGGAGCAGCAGTAGCGGAACCCTCCTCCAAGCCTCCTCGCGCACCTCTCCCCCGCCCCGCCGCGCCCATCTCCTCTCTCCGCCACCTCAACCTCCTCAAGTCCTCCCCAGGAGCCTTCAAAGCGTCAGACGTCCGCACCATTCTCTCTGCCGCCGGCCGCACCCTCCTCTCCTTCCGCTGCCTTGTCGAATTCGACCCGCGCCTCTCCGATTCCCTCTCAGACGAAACCCTAATTGAGATCGCCGAGCGGTGTTCGGTGCTGACGGCGCTACAACTGGTGGATTCCTCGCTCTGGGCGGCGCCCTCGGGATTGTCGCTGGCGCTCGGGGACCATGACGACGCACTGCCCGCCCGACATGGACGCGCGAGTCACGCCGGGCGGCATTCGGTCGTTTCTAGCGCGGTTGCCGGGGCTGGAGGAGCTGGATTTGCGGCCGGCGCAGTACCTGAGAGGGGCAGATGTGAGTCTGTTCGGCGGCGCTGCTGCTGATTTTGCTGGTGGTGCCACTGGTGGTGGTGGAGGAGGCGGGAGGGGTGGGGTGACAGCAACGGTGAGTCTGGGCCAGCTGAGTCCGAACCTGAAGCGGCTGCGGCTGGGTCAGTTGATCTTCGCCCACAATGATTCGCTGGTGCCAGTGCCTGCATCCGGGGAAGGTACAACTGGACAGGGATCATATGGGAAACCACCCTCCTCCTCAGCTGCATCATCCTCATCAGCAGCACAAACCACCACCACCCTCCCCTCCACCTCCACCATTCTCCCTCGGGGCCTTGAAGCCTTAGACTTCTGGCAAGCCCCCTCCCTGCCCCTGCGCTGCCTGCTCCCCCTCGCCCTCTCCTGCCCGCGCCTAAAGGAACTTAGTATCTGGGGCTGCCCGGACCTGACCCCGCCGAGCCTGGAGGCCGTGGCTCGGGTGTGCCGGCACTCGCTGGTCCGGATGACTGTAGTGAAGTGCTGCAATTTGCCCACAGCAGCGGTGCTCAAGGCGCTTTCCCCCGTTAGAAGCACACTGCAGCACCTGCACTGCTCCTGCGACTGGTTCTGCCCTAACAGCAGCGTGGCCCCTGTTTCCCCGGTTCAAAGTGGTGCAGATGGGAACGGTGACGGTGCTGATGGTACTGGTACCGGTACAGCTGGTGGTGCTGCTGGCGAAGGGGCAGGGGAGGGCATGGTGAAGCAGGCAGGCGGGAGGCGGCGCCTGGAAGGCAGGGCAGGGACTAATGGTACAGAAGAGCTGCTGTACGGCTCAGAAGCAGCGGAAAACCCTTCCACGCTTCGTGCGCGCTTTCGCGAATCTGGTGGCGGACTTGCGAAGCTAAGGTGAACCTGACGATAGCGGGCTGCTGACTTCGGTGTAGTCTGTGACGATGATGTTTGCTGGGCGAGGCACGGGTCCAACACTGAGATTGCTACGTCTAGCATGTCTTCAGCATCCGTGGGTACGTAAGGCTCGGTCTCGGTCGTAGTATGAGAATGAGAGACGTTCGTCATGGGCAAAACTCGAGGAGGGGTTTCACCCTCGCTAGGGTCCATTGTGGGAGAATATGGCTGACGAAGAGAACGGGTTAGCTACCCATAATATAAACCTCGCGTGTGTGAGCGACGCGACGAGAGGTTTACTCGGCAGAGTGGGTGGGTGGAGGAGAAGTGCCATAGCACGGCACATACGAGGGTGGAGAGCAGAGAGCTGTGGGTGGAGGTGGTGGACGGTGGCACGAACAAGGGAGGAGAGGAGAGGGAGGTTGGGTGGTGGTGGTGTGGATGGATTGCATGGTGGTGGAGAGGAATCGTGGCTCGCACGAACGAAGGTGGTGAGGGAGCTGCCACGCTGGAGTGATTCAGTTCCTTTGACGTGCATTGGCTTAGTGTGTTGGATGTCTCTGTGGCCAATCAACTTAGCCAGATTCACCCAAGGTAATCCCATGTGTCACAGCTGTAAACTGCGGCCAGCTCGTACTGGACGCTAAGGGAATGTGCGGGTGCTCCTAGGCTGATTGAAACACGCTACACACACGGGATTGGCTACAAAACGCTAAGGGAAAAATCCCCTTGGCGCGCTCTAGTGCAGGCTAAGGAGAAAGAGGGGGGGAAGGGGGGGGGGGGGGGGGGGGGGGGGGGGCTCCCTAGGGGGGGGGGGGTCCTACGATCTGAAACCAAAACTTAGATAAAGGGGAAGGCCTGGTTTCGTCCCTTAACGCATCCGGGGAAGGGTCAAACGAAGCACTTAGTGGCACGGGTGGGGTGCGAATCTAAAACTTGACGCATTGGAGCTGGAGCGAAACTAGCCCTTAATGTTCAGGGCATTAAGGGCATATGCCCGTCAATCGACAGGCCTGATTTCGACCCCAGCCCATGCCATAAAAGGGTGTTCAAAGTACTGCACAAGCTCAACGTCGAAGTATGTCGGTGAATCCTGACGGTTGGAACCGTAGATCCGAGGGTTGACATTCATCGACATCCCTCGACGTCGAGGGATGCAGTACTTTGAACACGCTTTAAGTTCAGTCGATTCAGATGGAATGGAAACCTCGAGAAAGTCCGAGCAACACGTACTGCAACACGCTCGGAATTGATCGGATGTCCATCTTGTTGCCATCGTTTCATAACTGTCGCCATCTTGTCTGATTTCGCCAAAGCCAACTGTCAGCTTTCGCCACGTCTTTGTCCGGTTCTTGCCAGTGCCAAGCTTGCTAGCCTTTCGCCACGGCCGAGCTTGTCTGCTTCTCGTCAGGACCAAGCCTGCCTACCTGCTCACCCTTCGGAAATAACCAAATTAGGGCCGGACATAAGCAGAGAAGTGGCCGAGTTAGGGCCGCGTGACTCGCACCCCTTCGAAGCAGTGCCGAACCAGCGCCACACCTAGCCCGAACATTTTTCGAACCTACCGAACAAGCTGACGAAATCTTGTTTAGAAACAGGTCAACCATAAACACCTTGTCGCAGAGTGTTTAGGGTTGATTCCTCCCTAAAAGCATGCCATCCGATATGGGTTTATAATGGTTTTGGCTCGGAAAATAAAATATAGGCTCGTACCAGGTTCGGACCTACGTACTAGGGGTGCGATCACGCGGCCTAATTCGGCTACTTCTCTGCTAATGTTCGGCCCCTCGATGATCTCTTCCCCTCACCCTTTCCCATCCCAAGCCCAATCATATGTTCCGCTTCTCTCCACTCCCCCCTTCAGTTCCCCTCTCCCCCCACCCCTCTTCCTGCTCCCCTCTCCCCGCTCCCCTTTTCCCGCTGCCCTCTCCCTTCGCTCCCTGAACACTTTCGTTGTGGTGTGTGTGTGGTGCTCTCTGCTGCTTTTGCATCTCTGCCCTCTCCCCTTCCCATACAAGTTGCAACGCCCTTGGTTTGCTTGACAGATTTTCGGAGGACCTCCCATCCACTCCTCCTGCGAGGTTCCGATTGTCTCTGACTTGCAGATGTTTATCCTCATCCCCCAGTGCTTATTTGGCAAACCTATTCACGGACCGCCTACTCATGCCAAGCTGTTTCGCGATGCTGATCAAGCGCTGAACGAGCCACGCTGAATCAGTTGACAGACAGGCTGCGCGCGATGCGAAGGAATTCCAAGAGAAGCCGTCTTTAACGAAAAGTAGCTGCAGGAACTTCTGACGCACTGACTAGAACATTTTTAGCAAACGATTAGGTGTACACGTGTAGCTGGAGGTCGATGAGCGCGAGTAACGGCGTGTTCGTTAGGAGGCATATGTGGGAGGAATCGGCGGGTGTGGAGAGAGAGGCGGTCGTGGAGGAGCAGGAGGGTAGAATCAGCGGAGGAGGAGATATGGCGAATGACTTGAGCAGTGGGGACTTGGATAGTGATTTTGACGTGGAAAGTGAGGAGGAGGAAGAGGGTGGGAACGGTGGAGGCGAGAGTGACATCAACGGTGACGATACGATCAGTCAATGTACGAACGGCTATGATACGGACGATCATGGTGTTGGTGACAATCATCCAAAGGGCGCCGCGATTGGTTTAGCCAGCAGGAAGCGGGGAAGGAGTCCGAGTGAGTCTGATTTCGCGGAGGGAGGGGATTATATGTTGTCGAGATCTGGTTTTGCGAGGCATAAGAGGGATAGCGGAGCGGGTGTTAATGAGAGAGCATGAGGAGGAGGAGGAGGAGGAGGAGGATGAGGAGGAGGAGGTGGAAGACGACGGATTCAGCGAGGATTTAGAGGACGAAAACGGAAACCGTTTAGCGGATAGGAATTGTACGTCAGTTGACGGAAACGATGACGCCTTTTTTCGCGGAGCCGTTTTGGAGGGTGATGACGAGGACGGAGGGGTTGAAACAGCAATCAATCCTGCATCCTCATTATACGCTGCTTCGTTATACGCGTCCTCGTTGTCCGCGCATCCATTGGCTCAAGCTCCCATAAACCCGAACGCATTATCTGCGGCAGCTAACGGGTTAGGGTTCGATATCTCAACGAATCGGTTAATGGGCCTTAGAAGGTTCCTGGAAGTTGCGGGTGCGAGAGACGCCGATGGTCGGGGTGCGGCTGACACGTGTAGCGGACGCGAAGCTGACGTGGCCGTTGAAGGCAGAGCTGACGTGGAGCGATCTGGAGAAGCCGCAGCGCACGCACCGAAGGCTGACGTGGCAGCAGCGGAGAGCACGACGGAGGGGTTGCTCCCTGACGAAGTCATTCTCGAGATCATCGCGCGGGTCTCGGACGCGCGCGCACGCAACTGCTGCGCGCTCGTCTCGCGCCGATGGCGCATGAGCGAGCGGCTCACGCGCACCTCCCTCTCCGTCCGCCGCTCCCTCGCGGACCTCCTGGAGCTTCCGCGATGCTTCTCCAACGTGCGCCGACTCGACCTCTCGCTCTGCCCCCCCTGCGGGCAACCGCTGCTCCTCGCGGGGCCCGCGCTAGAGGTAGCGACGACCCTCCGCGCGGCCTTTCCGCGCGTGACCTCTCTCCGCGTGCACGTGCGGGACCGGAACGACGTCCAGTGCGTGGCGGCCACGTGGCCTGGGTTGGAGCACGTGGCTCTGATCCGCTGGCACGAGTTTTCTGCAGCGGAAGCAGCAGCAGCCGCAGCAGGAGCAGCAGCAGGGCAAGGAGCAAACAACAACAACACTGACAACCCTAATATGAATGCAAATCCGCTGGGAACCCTAGAGCTGACCCCTTTACTAGTGATGTGCAGCCGAGTAGAGAGCATAGACTTATCCGAGTTCACGTGCTTCCCAGATCATGTTACTGATGCCTTCACTGCTGCTCCCCAGGCCGCCGCCGCCATCGCTGCTGCTGCCGCCGCCGCCACCGCTGCCGCCGCTGCTGCTGCGTCTGCCACTGGAGCAGGAGGAGCAGGAGCAGCAGCAGCGGAACCCTCCTCCAAGCCTCCCCGCGCGCCTCTCCCCCGCCCTTCCGCGCCCATCTCCTCTCTCCGCCACCTGAACCTCCTCAAGTCCTCCCCCGGCGCTTTCAAAGCATCAGACGTCCGCACCATTCTCTCTGCCGCAGGTCGCACCCTCCTCTCCTTCCGCTGCCTTGTCGAATTCGACCCACGCCTCTCCGATTCCCTCTCAGACGAAACCCTAATTGAGATCGCCGAGCGGTGCCCGCTGCTCACGGCGCTGCAATTGGTGGATTCGTCCCTCTGGGCGGCGCCCTCGGGATTGTCGCTGGCGCTCGGGGACCATGACGACGCGCTGCCGCCCGACATGGACGCGCGGGTCACGCCGGGCGGCATTCGGTCGTTCCTAGCGCGGTTGCTGGGGCTGGAGGAGCTGGATTTGCGGCCGGCGCAGTACCTGAGGGGGGCAGATGTGAGTCTGTTTGGCGGCGCTGCTGCTGCTTTTGCTGGTGGTGCCACTGGTGGTGGTGGTGGAGGAGGCGGGAGGGGTGGGGTGACAGCAACGGTGAGTCTGGGACAGCTGAGTCTGAACCTGAAGCGGCTGCGGCTGGGTCAGTTGATCTTCGCCCACAATGATTCGCTGGCGCCAGTGCCTGCATCCGGGGAAGGTACATCCGGGGAAGGTACATCTGGACAGGGATCATATGGGAAACCACCCTCCTCCTCAGCTGCATCATCCTCATCAGCAGCACAAACCACCACCACCCTCCCCTCCACCTCCACCATTCTCCCTCGGGGCCTTGAAGCCTTAGACTTCTGGCAAGCCCCCTCCCTGCCCCTGCGCTGCCTGCTCCCCCTCGCCCTCTCCTGCCCGCGCCTAAAGGAACTTAGTATCTGGGGCTGCCCGGACCTGACCCCGCCGAGCCTGGAGGCCGTGGCTCGGGTGTGCCGGCACTCGCTGGTCCGGGTGACTGTAGTGAAGTGCTGCAATTTGCCCACAGCAGCGGTGCTCAAGGCGCTTTCCCCCGTTAGAAGCACACTGCAGCACCTGCACTGCTCCTGCGACTGGTTCTGCCCTAACAGCAGCGTGGCCCCTGTTTCCCCGGTTCAAAGTGGTGCAGATGGGAACGGTGACGGTGCTGATGGTACTGGTACCGGTACAGCTGGTGGTGCTGCTGGCGAAGGGGCAGGCGAGGGCATGGTGAAGCAGGCAGGCGGGAGGCGGCGCCTGGAAGGCAGGGCAGGGACTGATGGTACAGAAGAGCTGCTGTACGGCTCAGAAGCAGCGGAAAACCCTTCCACCGCACCAGACTCCTCCGAATGGCCTGCTCTGCAGTCCCTCACTCTCCTCGCTCCCCTCGGAACCCTCCTTTCTCAACTCCCCTCTGCCGGCCTTCTCCACTGCCCCCTCCTCTCTCACGTCCACATCCGAGTGTACGGCGACTGTCGTCTCGCAGCGGGGCCCGGGGCGGCAGGGTTTGGCCTTTCCTGTCTGGCCGGCTACCCGGCGCTGCGCTTTCTTCTTCGTCTCGATTTAACGCAAGTGGTGGGGCATTCCCTGAGCTGCCCCCCTGGACTAGCCTTTGATGTGATGGCCTGGGAACGGTTCTACCTGCATGGGATTCAGCTGCTGCCGGGGCTCGAGTCGCTGCACTATTGGCCGCCGTCCGACTGCGATCTCAACCGTCGATCCATGTCGATGCCGTCCGCTGGGATCCTCGCATCGTGCCAGTCGCTGCGCCACCTGGCAGTGCATTGCACGACGGCTAATGAGCATCTGCTAAACGTGGTGGTGCGGGGGGCTAGAGGGATGCGCGATTTGCACGTGCTGGGGGATTGCTATCCCGCTCCTCCCGATGACACATATGCGGGCATGCTCCGGCCGGCTTCGTTCCAGAGGCTGATTAGGGTGCTGGATGAGAGAGGCTATCCTGATTGATTCATTGATGTGCATGTGCTCCTCTCCTGCCGGATATTCACGTGCTGAGTTTGCATTGCATGTGCTGGGGTGGGGGATTTATATCCGGCTCTATGTCCGGCTCCTCCCGTTCCAATGACACGTATGCCGGCATGCTCAGGCCTTGCTTCATTTCAGAGGCTGATCAGATCAAGGGCCTGGACACAAGAGGGTATTCTGATTGATTCATTGATTGGTTTGATTGATTGAGAGCGGGCTTGCGATAGGCCACCGCACCGCAGCTGGTGCTGTTGCAATATCCTGCCATGTTTTTGTCATCTACTGTGATTTTTGATAGCTAATCCTCCCTGCTTACACCAATTAACAAATTTGACCGGTAGGGTGCGTGCGTGGGTGCTACCCTCACCGATAGTAGTATGTGCGTCGGGAGGGTGGATGGTGGTATGGTAAACGGATTGACAGCAGGGTCTTCTGGTGGAGCAATGAGTGAGTAGAGTGCACAACAGATGGTTAATACAGGCTGATCAAGGGGCTCATACGGTACCTGAGTCATCTGGGTTGCTTGCACTGTGGCACCAAAAACACAGAATAAAAGATCGGTGTGAGGCGTCTCAAAACTCGTCACTGTATGTACAAACCACAGCATGTGTGGTGAAGTGTCTGTGAGCGCCAATCCCAGCCCGTCACTGCGCGAGTCCGGGTGAGCATGTCATTGTTGGGTTGGGTTGGGTTGGGTTGGGCCTCCCCTCCCTCCAGAAACAGAATCCACGTGGCTGTGAAAGCGAGGCCAAGCCAATCGGTGCGTTTGAGCCAGTCACAGTAATTGTTCAGCATGTGGTCGTCCGTCTTGACACGTGTGTCAATGCAAGTATGCCGGCAACAGGCAGCCAATCAACCCTCTAGCCAACCAACCCTCACGTGTCAGTGAAAGCGAGGCCAAGCCCATCGGTGCGATTGAGCCAGTCCCAGTACTTGTTGAGCATGTGATCGTCCGGCCTCACCTCCCTCCACCTGCCCTCACAGAATATCGCATGCGCGTCTGCTGCGTACCTGCCATGGCAGGATGACGAATGCACAGCCATGGAGTGGAAGGGAGTGGGGCAGAGTGGAGGGGAAGGAATGTGAAGCACAGTGGAGCACCTGAAGAAAGAGGAAATAATCAGGAAGGAGAGGAGAGCACAAAGAGAGCAGAAGCACCTTCAATGATCCAACATCTCGTGTTCACTCGAACCACTAATTAACCCTTCCCCCCCCTCCTGCTGTTTGCGCTCACTTCTCCAGACTCCACCACACTAAACACCTGCCACAATCACCTCTTCGGAACTCAATTGAGGACCATTGGATCATGGTGGCACCCTTTCTGAACCCTGGCTACCGTCAGATCTTCTCTCAGGCCGCTTCCCAAAGCCATGCCATTGCATCACACACCCGTCCAATCTCTCTAGAGCACTTTGTTTAGAGCTGCTTCACCATGTCACCTACGTTTTCTGGGCAACACTGCGCTATTTTTACCTCCTCTTCCCTTCCTCCTCCTAACCCCTCCCCCTAATCTCCCCCCCCCCCCCTCCCACCCCAGACCCCTTCTTCTCCCCAAACCCCCCTTTCTTTCTTTCCCCCAAACCCCCCTTTCTTTCCCCCAAACCCCCCTTTCTTTCCCCCAAACCCCCCTTTCTTTCCCCCAAACCCCCCTTTCTTTCCCCCAAACCCCCCTTTCTTCCCCCCAAACCCCCCTTTCTTTCCCCCAAACCCCCCTTTCTTTCCCCCAAACCCCCCTTTCTTTCCCCACTCCCACACGCTTACTTCCTAATGCCGTGCAGCTGCCGCACGACCGTCCAGTCGCCCCTCGGGAACTTCTTCTTCCCTCCCCCTTCCTCCCCCCTTCTCCCCCCACCTTCTCCCACTCCCCCCCAAACACTCACTTCCCAATGCCGTGCAGCTGCCTCACGTCCGTCCAATCGCCCCGCAGGAACTCCTCTGAGAACCGTTGGATCATGGCGGCGCGCTTGTTGTGCAGCCCCAGGGACTGGATGGTGCGCGCAATCTCAGCCGTCGGTGCTGCTATGGCTGCCTCTGGGGAGGGGATGAGGCGGAATAGGTCCCAGATGACTTTATGGAGCTGCGGTGGGAGTGAAGAAGGGGGGCAGGGAGGACGAGGTAGGGGAGCGGGAGGAAGGGGGAGAGCAGAAGGTCCGTAGGACCGTTTTTTAATAAAGATGAGGTGGAATATGTCCCAGATCACTTTATGGAGCTGCAGTAGGAGGGGGTTGGGGGGGAAAGGACAGTAGGAAAAGACAAGGGGATGGGGCGGAATAGGTCCCAGATCACTCGGTGGAGCTGCAATGCGGGGGGAGGTGGCGGGGGGGGAGGGGAGGGGAGGGGGTGGGTGAATGGGACATCAAGTGTTAGTGCAAGAGAGACAAGTGTAATCAGATGCGTGGGGGTAGCGATGGTGGGCTAGTGCGAGGGCATCAGGCAGAATAGGTCCCAAACTACTCGGTGGAGCTGTGGTGGGGGTCAAGAAGGGGGGGGGAAGGGGGACAAGGTAGGGGAGAGGAAGGAAGGGAGAGAGCATAGTTTGAGGGGTCAAAATAACGAGTGCGAGGGAGTCAGGCGGAATAGGTCCCAGAGAGAGCGGTGCAATCTGGTCTGTGGCTACAGCAACGGCATTTATTGGCTAGGAGATGAGACGAAAAAGAGCCCTAATCCAAATGGTTAGGCGGGGGTGTAACAAGAGGAAGGGGGTTCGCAACAGAGAACACAGCGCGAGGATAAAAGCTACACAGTACAGCTGGGGAGCAGGAGGAGCAGGGAGCAGGAAGCGGATCAAGTAGGAGGGGAATTAGGACGCGGTACAAGTGTCGATCAATAGCCATAATCGATCCTCCACCGCGCTATAAACGTGCTCAATAAACAACAACCCCACGGAACCGCTATATACCCAAGATAAAAACGATCCTGAGTGCAATTGATCAACACTTTTACCGCATCCTTAGAGTAGGAAGAGGTGGTGGGGGAATTGCGGAGGAGAGGAGGCGTAGGGAATGAGGCTTGGCTGCCAGAGATTTGCACCAGAATGTGGAGCTGTAGAACCTGATTCGCAGGAGTGCAAGAACACTGGGATAAGAAAAAAGATATCGCCGATGCCGGGGATCGAACCCGGGTCTCTCGCGTGACAGGCGAGGATACTCACCACTATACTACATCGACTTTGTTCTTCAATCCATTCGACCTAATTTTATTGCTCACCTTCCCGCCAGCTGTACTGTTGAGGAGTGTGCATTCACTCACCTGCCTGCCTGCTGTCTTGTTGAGCAGCATGCATGCAACCAGCAGTTTCCACGGGTCACGATACAGGCGCTCCTGTGTGAGGGAGGAGGGGAGAGTGGAGGGGTGTGGGGTGGAGAAGGGAGGAAGGGAGAAGAGAGGGGGTAGAGAAAGACTGGAGATTGAGTGATACGAAAGGTTCAGCAAGCTGTAAACCACCACATAGCAACGCACTAACAGCAGCCCACCTGGATCAGGCCAAAGGGAGACACCGGCGGAACCCAAGCACCACTTGGCACTGCTGCACCATCAGACCCCGCCACTCGGCCTGCTTGCACTGCTTCCTCTGCACCCTCCTGCCCTTGTGAAGCCACATCGATCTCTTCACCCTTTATTTCTGCAACTGCCGTGCCGCCCCCCTCTGCTCTGCGCCCTTGGCTCTCCCTACTCCCACTGCTTCTCCTCTTTCTGCCACGCCTGGCTACACCCCCACCTACCCTCCTCGTCTTCTCTCCTTTCATCCCTCCATTCCCTCCCAGCTGCCACTGCCCCTCCTCCTCTGCACTCCCCTCATCACCAGAACCTCTCCCCTCACTCTCCCCTTCCACCCAGCCGTTGCTGTCCCTTTCTCGCATCCCTTCTGCTTCTGCGCGTCCCTCACACTCCTCCCCTTCACACTCCTCCCCTTCACACTCCTCACCACCCACAAGCACGGATGACGTTGATGACGTGGCACACCACCCTGCTGACTCACACGCCTCTTCCCCCCCTCCCTCTCCGCCCCTCATAGCAGCAGCAACCCCTCTCTCACTGCCCTCCTCTCTCCTCTCTTCACACCTTTCCCTAGTTCCATCCCTCTCCTCCTTCTCCTCCCTCTCCGCCCTCTCTGCAACCTCCCCCACTCCTGCCATTGTGCTTCGACCAATCACAGGCTCCCCTCCTCTCCTCTCCATCCCCCTTACGTACTCCACGCACTTCACCCCCTCCTTGACTCTCACCCTATCTCCGTGGCTCAATCCCCTTCTGCCACGTGGCAGAGACACAATAGGCAGTGCCAGCACAATAGGTGCCCCCTCACGCCCTCTGCTCCACCCCACAGCCCATCCACCCTCCCCTCTTGCTCCTCCTCGCTCTGCTCCCCCATCCCCCTCCGCTCTTCCTTCCCCATGCACTACACCTCCCCCTTCGCCTCTCATCCTCTTCTCCCCTCCACCTTCCCTCCCCGCTTCGATCCCCCCTCTCTTCCCCACTGCGGCCTTCCCCTCTCCGCCACCTGCCCCTTTCTCTCCCCCCTCCGCCACAACCCCTCGTCTTCCCCCCCTTCTCCCATTCGCTCTTCCCCACTTCTCTTCTCTCCCACTCCCAATCCCGTGAACCAAGTTACCTCTGCCTCCTCTTTCCACGCTCCCCCTATTGCAATTAACAGCCGCCTTTACACCGCCAGTTACACAAGAGGGGCTGTTTCCGCGCAGGTTCTTAAAGCCACCAAGAAGAGATCTTTTTGGACCGCCCGTTGCGGGATCGGGTAGGTTGCTAGTGGCTGGCTTCTTCGGGCTGCCCGTTGCTGCTCCCGCTGTCGTTTTTTCCGGGCTGCCCGTGAACCGCCATTGGTCAAAACTATCTGATGATATTCCAGGGGACGCCGGTAAGTACGGCACGGGGACATTCGGGGAGAGGGGGAGATAGCCGCGCGGAACATAAGGGGAGAGGAAAGCTTGAGGGGAGGAGAAAGCTTGCGGGGAGGGGGAGGCAGGTCCAGCGCGCGGAGGAACGGCGGGCTCCGCGTGCTCCGCGCCCGGCGAATGGTGGGAGCAAGGTGGAAGGGGGGACCGCGGAGCACGAGGGGGTACCGGCGCGGAGTTGCGCGGAAGGAGAGCGGGGAAGGCCTCCGGTTGGAACGGCGACAGCGCGGGTGCTAGATGATCGTCGCTCGGCGACATGGCGATGTCGCCTTGAGAGGCGTCCTCGTGCGATGGGAGGTCGTCGCCAGGCAGAGCCTGCGACGAACAAGCGACAAGTTTTTCGTCGTCGGGGAGCGATAGGATGACGTCAGGAGGTGAGGAGACGACGTCCGACGGGGTCGAGATGACCTCAGCAGGGTCGTCACGGGAAAGGAATGAAACAGTAGGATCATCGACGTCCATCTGGTGCTCTTTCAGCCGCGGCGCGATTGGAGGCGTCTCGAAAACTTTGTGTGGCTGTGGTACTGCGGCGGCCATGACCCCTTCAAGCGAGATGCTTTGCGATTTATTAAAAAGAAAGAATATTCCGATCAGCTGTGGCTCTAGATTCCACAAGCTGTCACTCCGAAGCCTCCCAATCTGCCGCTTGTGCACAACTGTTGTTCCGTGCTGTTTAGTTGTGCTGTGCGCACATGAGGAATAAGCTCACAGTTTGGAAGGGGAACATTTATTGCGTGGTGTGCGGGAGGAGAGGCAATCGACGAGGGAGGGGAGGGTGGGCCGGAGGGGGCGCGAGTTAGAAAAGGGGGAAGGGAAAGAAGGGTAGCTGGCGGGGCGAATGGGGCTTCAGCGGAAGGGGAAAGTGCTTTACGTGCGCGCATGACCCAAGGACCTGCGTTTCTGGTTGTGCGCGGAAGTCCGGAAGCGGGAGATTCTGGTCACAGCACCATCATTCTGACGACATTTTGGCGGGAGCGTGATGTTGACGAGGCTTCGTCCGTGCGATGAATTTCGCGCAACCTCGTGAGCCCGTTACCACTAAATCTTCTGCAACTTTTACGTACACTTCAATTCGAGTCGACTTCTTTCGCATTACAATTTGGCCGTCTCAACTCCATGCCAGCAGAATCTGCTATTATCTCCCCTGCTTTAATCAACTAAAAGCCACTTAGGGCGGGGCACAGAATGCAGCCCAAGTCGAAGTCACTAAGGGCGTGTAACATTGCGATGACCGAAGCCAAAATCCGACCATTTGGTTGGGGCGTGCGAATGCGAAGGGAGTAACACGATGGCGAGGGATGCGAGATTTTCCCGCCAAAAGACCACGATAACGACCGACTCAGAGTACATTCCTACCTCGTGTCTGACATCAGGTCATCCGTCCTTAGAAGCTCGGAAGACCCGAAGTGGTTCAAAATAGGGGCAAATCAACATTGAGAAGAGACAATCAAAGACTAAGGGCGGATGACCTGATGTCAGACCCGCCATAGGAATGCGCCCTCAGCAAACGCCCAAACCAAGCGACCGCACGTGCGACCAGTTTGGTCACGAAAACATCTCCGCCGTGATAGTTACCCGCAGAATAAAATTTGGGGAAACACCCACAGATAGCGTTACGTGTTAGTCCCCGAATTTGTCTCGCGGAGGCCCATGAGGTTGCTAAACACTACCATCTTCTCGTGCCCCGTAGAATCCACACCCACATCGAATGCTGAATTTTGGATTGGACATTGAAATTCTTATTACGGGGGTAGTTAAGGGTGGGTGCCCCTACATCGACCACGCCACAACCATGGTCATTGTATCTACAGAGAACGCCCAAGGTGTTTGTTACCACTTCCCTCGCATATCGGCCAACGTGACCGAATGGTCGGATTTTGGCTTCGGTCATCGCAATGTTACACGCCCTAAACACAATTCAGCAGAGCCATGCTCTTTTCTATCACGATCGTTAATGCAGCGCGCTCCCGACACTCGCTCGACGATGCTCACTAAGCGTCGCCATTACGTCACAGAGGCAGACCCGCGACGGAGCTATTCGCCAGTACAGCTTCCATAGTGCCTTGTCGAGCTTCTACAAACCTCTGTCTCTAAATCTCTCGCCCGAATCTGCCTCCGCTTTCCGCCAATGGCGCGGACGGACGGCCAGCTTGCGCTGCTTCACGTGCAGCGCGCCAATCGCCCGCGCATTGCGCCAATCCTCCGCGTTGTCGGTACTGGCGCAGCCCCGCTCCCCGCGGTGGCGCTCGCGGCGCAAGGGCAGCTCGCGAAAGGTCAGGCGGCGCAAGCGCAACTGGCGCAAGGACAGGCGCAACCTGTCGCGGGGCGCGTAGGAGCGGTACCGGCGCCACAGCAGGCTGGGACTCCGGGGAAGAGCGCTCCCCTTGCCGCCACTTCTGTCGCTCCGCCTGCGCCTGCCGTTCCCCCGCCCGCTGCTGCTGCCAAGCTTGCCGGCACCGCCGCCCCGCCCTCCGCCTCCCCCGCCCCAGCGGAAGCAGCGCGCGAACAGAAGGCAGTGGCGGAAAAGGGTGCACGAGGGGAACCCTCAAAAGGCGCAGCGGGCGCGAAGAACGAGGTTGCGGGGGCAGGGAAAGGGGAGGAGGGGAAGGGGAAGGCGGGGCGGAAGGCGGAAGGTGCGGAGGAGGCAGGGGAGCAGGGTGGTGTGGAACAAGCTGTTGGCGGTGGTGGTGATGTTGGGTCCGGGGCCCGTGATGGGGCCCGTGATGGGACCCGTGATGGGACCCGTAGTGATGGTGGGGCAGCGCTTGCTGCTTCTACTACTGCGGCTGCTGCTGCGGCTGGGGTTGCTGGAAGTGGCACAGCCACAGAGCCTGGAGACGACAATAAGGGGCAGCTGAAAGCTAAAGCAGCTGCTACAGTAGCTGCCTCAGTGCCAGCTACAGTAACAGCCACGGTCGCTGCTACAGTACCGACTACAGTGACTGCTACAGTGGCAGTAGACGCGGAACATTCCACTGTGGCTACTGTTGTCGTGGAGCCAGCTGGCGCTGTGCACTTTGGATCCACCCCCACCGCCCCTAACCGCTCACCACTCCTTAAAACACACACAACGCCCCACGCTGCCACAGCAGCCGCAGGAGCAATAAGAGGAGGAGAGACGAATGGGGTTGAGGGGGTAGCAGAAGGTGAGGAGGAAGGAGAAGGAGGTGGAAGAGGGAGGGGAGGAGGAGGAGAAGGAGAAGGAGAGGTGGAAGGTTCAGAGGCAGGTGGTTGGAGGGGGAAGCATGCAGGTGCGGCAGATATAGGAGAGGGAAGTGGGGGGGGTGGAGGGAAAGGAGGAGGAAGAGGGGGAGGGAGTGGGAGCCATGGCACTAAGAAGCTGCCGCCGTCGAAGCACTCCAAGTCCTTCAAACTCTCGTCTTCTTCGAAAAAGCCGACTCTCAAGGTGACCTTTGACTCCTCCCAAAAGCCGTCTTCCCTCAAGAAGCCGCTTTCTTCCAAGTCCAAGCATGCCCCGCTGCCGCCCAAACACGCCGCCCCTGCCAAACATGCCGCGCAGTCCAAGCAGTCTGCCGCCCAGAAGCGGGCGGTGGGGGGGAAGCAACCGCTGAGCCCCACTAGACACTCTGCCAGGCTGGCGCTGATTTCGCCTGCCCGGAAAAAAGGGCGGTGGGGTGGGGAGGAGTGGGAGGGCGGTGATGGGGATGAGGGAGAGGAGGGAGATGGGGGGAGGAAGGAGGGGGGTAGGAAGGGGCCACGGAAGGAGGAGGAAGGTGGAAACAGGGGGGCAGATGGGGAGCGAGATGGGGAAGGGAAGGGGGATTATGGGCGGAAGGGGAAAGGCGTGTGGAAGTGGAGAGTGGAGAGCGGTGCAGATGGTAAAGCCATGGGTCGCACAGAAAAAACAGGAAGCAGAAGTGGAGCGAAGGGGGAGAAGGAGAGGTGGGGGGGGAAGGGGTTGCGGGACAGAGGAGGCTCGGGTGGTAAGGAAGGGGTAGAGGAGAGTGGAGGGGAGAGGCAAGGGGAGAGAAAAGGGGAGAAGGGAGGAGGGACGCGAAGGGAAGTGGGAGGTGTAGGAGGGGAGGGTGGAGGGCGGTTTTCGCGGAAGAGGAGGCGAGGAGAGGCGGATGATGATGTTGCTTCTGGTGGTGCTTCTGGGAGTGGTTGCTGCTGCTGCTGCTCTTGCTGCTGCTGCTGCTGCTGCTGCTGCTGCTATTGCTGTGACCGGGTTGAGCGAACGGGATCGGCGAGAGGGGAGAGAGCGGAGAGAAGGGAGAGATGGAGAAGAGAGAGCAGGGGTGGACGGTGCAGAGGAGGCAGAGCAGCAGCGGAGCAAGAGGGCAGCGGGGGAGAGGAGGGGCGCAGAGCAGGGGAGCAGTGGTGTGGGGGAAGAGGGAGGTGTGGGGCGGACGGCGGGTGACAAGGCGGTGGGTGGTGGGACAGTGAGGAAGGATGGTCCGAGAGGTGCTGCCACCACCCCAACCAAACCCAAGTCCAACCCCACTGCTGCTGCCACCCGCCCCATGCCTCCTCCATCCACTCGCTCCGCTGCCGTCCTTTCCCCCCCTCGCCCCTCCCCACGCCCTCCCCCTCGTGCCTTCCCCCGTGCGCCCCCCCATGGGGCAGCAGCGGATCGCGCAGCGGCAGCCATGGCTGCCGCGAGGAGCCTGGGAGGGGGGTTGGGCTGGCCCCTTGTTGACACTCCCGAGGCAGACGCGTGCTCTGATGCCCCGGCCGCTCCTGGGAGCCTTGAAACCCCTGAGAATGCCGAGGATTCAGAGAGCTTCGAGGCTCTTCAGATGCGTGGGAAGGCTGTAAAGGCAGCAGAGGTGGTGGTGGTGAAATCTGAAGCAGAGGCGAGGGGGAGGGGTGGGGGCAAGGTGGGTGTGGTGGGGGAGGGGGAGAAGGGTGGCGCGGGGAAGGGGAGTGAGGGGGGGAGGAGAGGGGGGGAGGAAGCGAGAGGGAGAGGGGGGAGGGTGGCAGGGGCGGCAGCGGCTTCAGGTGTGGGAGCCGTGGTGAAGGTCGTATTAGCAGCTGAGGCGAGGGGTGGGCATGGGGGGGGTGGGGGGATGGGGGAGGTGGGTGATGATGGTGATGGTGGCAAGGAAGATGATTGGATCGTGTTGGAGCAAGGGGAGGAGGAGGATGAGGAGGTGGAGAGGGGGATGGGAGGGGGGGTTGAGCGGGAGAGGCAAGGAATGATTGCAGGGGAGGAGGGAGAGGAGGAGAGTGTAGATGTGGAGGAGGCTGATGATGATACTGATGAGGAGGGGGGGGAGGAGGGGGAAGAGGAGGAAGACGATGAGGAGGATGATGAGGGGGCGTTTGACATGGACGGGGGTGCGGTGGCGGCGCTGGCAGCAGCAGGGATAGACATCAGCATGCACGGCACAAGGAGCCTCTCAGACGCTGACGTGGCAGCGGCTTGCCACCAGTGAGTGTGCATGTGTGCATGTGTGCGTGTGTGTGTAATGGTGTTCTAATAGCATCACTGGCAGCGGCGGGATAGACATCAGCATGCATGGCACGCGAAGCCTTTCAGAGGCTGACGTTGTAGCTGCCTGCCGCCAGTGAGTGCTTGCGTGTTTGTTCTCACTGCGACTGAGGGTCTGTGTGTTAGAAAACCTCTATTCTATTCATCCTGCATATGCTAGTTCGCTTGTCTAGAGTTAAGCACCCAAACCTTATTTGGGTGTATAACTGGGGTTTACCCTAGTTGGGGTTGTGGTTCCAACCTTAGCCAAAATACTTGGCCCCCAAAGGTTGGGTTAGAGCATTATTGGGGCTCTATCATTATTGGGAGGCCCCAATAATTCCTCCAACCCAATTATTGGTGGGGGCCAATAATCTTGGCCACACTCCCAACCAACCCACTCCCCCTCATAGCTCAACTATGTATACCTCCTGTTTCTCATTCTAAATAAATTCTTTCAATTCTCAGTCCTCATCCTTCACAGGATTCTAACACTGTGGGGTGTGTGTGTGTGTGTGTGTGTGTGTGTGTGTGTGTGTGTGTGTGTGTGTGTGTCTGTGTGTGTGTGTGTGTGTGTGTGCGCGCGCGCGCGCGTGCGTGCGTTTGAACAAGGCGTATACCCACCCCGTCAATGCTTCCATGATCCCTCCTCCACCCTTCCGGCCTCTTGCTCTCTCCCTACCCACATCAGGTACGGAGCAGCCTTCATAATGACTCTCCTGCACCAGGTGACACGAGAGGCATCCTTCAATCACGCGTGCCACCTGCCCTGCCCTGCCCTGCCCTGCCCTGCCCTGCCCTGCCCTGCCCTGCCCTGCCCTGCCCTGCCCTGCCCTGCCCTGCCCTGCCCTGCCCTGCCCTGCCCTGCCCTGCCCTGCCCTGCCCTGCCCTGCCCTGCCCTGCCCTGCCCTGCCCTGCCCTGCCCTGCCCTGCCCTGCCCTGCCCTGCCCTGCCCTGCCCTGCCCTGCCCTGCCCTGCCCTGCCCTGCCCTGCCCTGCCCTGCCCTGCCCTGCCCTGCCCTGCCCTGCCCTGCCCTGCCCTGCCCTGCCCTGCCCTGCCCTGCCATGCCCTGCCCTGCCCTGCCCTGGGCAGCTCCCTCAATGCTTCCAAGTCATCCCTCACTCACCCCCTCCACCCCGCTCTCCCCTTGTCTTCCCATCAGGTACGGGGCGGCCTTCATAATGGCTCTCCTGCACGAGGTGGCACGGGAGGCATCGCACCGCCGCCACCTGCACTGGCCATCCATTGCCACCCGCCTCTCAGCCAATCACAGCTTCCCCGTCGCCAGCCTGGCTCTCTGCCAGCTGCTCTGGCGCTGGCTGGCATACGGCCGCCCCTTCTCGCACCTCGACACCCTGCCCTCCGCGCCTCTGCTGGTAAGATGCGCTCGTGGATAGCTTTAGCATTCCCAAAGATGTGCTGCCCTCTGCGCCCTTGTTGGTGAGCTGCTCTGCTGTTTTCTCCTCTGCCAGCTGTTCTGGCGCTGGCGCTGGCTCGCCATGGCTGCCCCTTCTCGCACCTCGACATCCTGCCGTCCGCACCGCTGCTGGTGAGTGTTGAATATCCCATGACATATACGCTTGCGCAGCACACAACACGCCGTGCCACTCTCTGTGGGTGTGTGGGCGTGGCAGGAGGAGGAGGAGAGCGACTTGGAGGACGAGCTGGAATAACCTTAATCAGCCTATCTCGTATGCGCTTATGCCACAGTAATCATGGCATGGCACTTATCTCTATGTGTGTGTGTGTGTGTGTGTGTGTGTGTGTGTGTGTGTGTGTGTGTGTGTGTGTGTGTGTGTGTGTGTGTGTGTGTGTGTGTGTGTGTGTGTGGTGTGTTGGGGGGGGGGGGGAGTGTGCGTGTGTGTGGATGTGTGTGCGTGTGCGCGTGTGTGTGTGTATGCGTGTGGCAGGAGGAGGAGGAGGAGAGCGACTGAGAGGACGAGCACGAGTATCCCTGTGGAGATGGCCCTCTCAGACACCTCAATAACCCTCATGTCTCCTGCACTCATGCATCACAACGCATGGCGTGGCATCACAACGCATGGCGTGGCATCACAACGCATGGCGTGGCATCACAACGCATGGCGTGGCATCACTCTGTGTGGGTGTGTGTGTGGGAGGGGGGGGGGGAGGGGGGCTGGCAGGAGGAGGAGGAGAGCGACCTGGAGGACGAGCTGGAGTACCCGCTGGACACGTCCCCGCACCTCATTTCCGCTGCTGCATCGTTTGTCAAGGTGTGCGGACGGGGTTTGAGTGGACTCTAAACTTGTCAAGCTGCGTGCCTTTTGAGTCGACTCAGAAGTCACCTGGATTCGGGCGTGCTGAGATCGGGTCTGTCTGGCTGCTCAGTCGGTTGGGGCTCTTACGAAACCAAGCAAAGCTGGTTCTGAATCGCAGTGAATTGAAGTTGCTGGTACCAGTGTTGCGCTGTTGCGCTGCTGACCTGTTGCGCTGTTGACCTGTTGCGCTGTTGACCTGTTGCGCTGTTGCCCTGTGGGTCTGCTGAGATTCACAACCGTCAACCAATGTGGCCTGCTGCTGAGGGGGGAGAGAAGAAAGTCGAAAGCAGTCTCGAGGAATCAGAGTGGGCTTCGTACCTTCCTGAAATGAGTCTCTAAACTTATGCAGTCTAACTGGGCTTTAAGTTTCTTCATTAGAAGCGTCCTTTCATCGTCCGTGCCTGTGTGCACTGCTTGCCTCGTGTGTGTGCACTGCTTGCCTCGTGTGTGTGCACTGCTTGCCTCGTGTGTGTGCACTGCAGGCTGACTTGGCGGATACAGGCATTGCCTATGGTTGGTACCACTCATGCCACCCAGGGAAGCACGGCACTTCTGAGGCGCCTCAAAAGCAGGGTGCACAGAAGCAGCAGGAGGAGCAGGAGGAAGGAGGCCAGCAGCAGCGCAAGGAGCAGCAGGAGCAGGCGCAGCAGCAGCACACACAAGGAGCTGATTCTCTTGATCCTTGGGACTTAGGCGCCCCTGCTTCCGCCGCCCATTCCCAACCCCATGGCCTTTCTAATCAGCACGGGCAGGCACACACCTCCAACACTCCGCCTCTTGTCGAGCCTTCTGCTGGTGAGGCTGGCAGGGGGGAGATGGGGATAGAGGAGGGAAGGGGCGGGAGAGGGGGCGTGGAGAGGAAAGGGGAGGGGGAAGGGGAGGGGGAAGGGGAGGGGGGGAAGAAGCGGAAATGGGAGGGCACGAGAGAAGGTAGGGGGATGTGGAGCAGCAGGGACGAAAAGGTGGCGGAGGAAAGGTGGGCGATGGGCGGGAGAGGAAGGTGGGGAGAGCTGTGAGTGGTAGAGATGATGGGGAGGATGGTGGGGATAGGGGTGATGGGGATGGGGGAGAAGGGGATGGGGAGGGTAAGGACGAGGAAGAGGATGAGGACGAGGAGGAAAACAAGCCCGTGGCTCGTCTGGTGAGTCAACACGTGCCCGTGTCAAGAGCTGCAGCAGAGGGTTCAAAGGGGGAGGGGGGGGTGGGAAAAGAGCAAGGCAAGACAGGGGATGGGGCAGGAGGAGCAGGAGGAGCAGGAGGAGCAGGAGGAGGAGTGAAGAGCAAGGCAGTTGGGAAGGTATCAGAAGAGACAGCCGTGGGCGCAGGGGCAGGTGGGGGAGGAGGAGGAGGGGAGGGGGGAGGGAAGAAGGACGGAGCAAGAGCTGTTTCTGGCACGGGAGCAGCAGCACAGGCATCGGCAGGCGCTGGTGGGGAGGACGGGGCAGGCGAGAAGAAGACTCACGCTGGAGGCAGCAGCAGCAGCCACAGCCAGCCCGCCAAAGCCAGCAAGGCAGGCGCCATTCCTGCTTCCGCCGCTGCTGCTTCTGCATCTGCTGCTGCTGCTGCCGCAAGCGGTGCGGGGGGTGGCAGTGGCGGGACAGAGGGAAAGGGGGCTGCAGGGGGAGGGGGAGGCACAGCAGGGGGAGCAGGGGGCACAGCAGGGGGCACAGGGGCAGCAGGAGGAGCGGGGGAGGGCGAGGCGAAGAAGAAGCGCAAGGCATGGACGCCGGATGAGGACAAGCTGCTGATCAAGGCCGTGGAGGTGTACGGCGAGGGGCAGTGGGGGCGCGTGCTCAAGAGCGATCTAGGGATCGAGAGGAATGCTGCTCAGCTGTCCCAGGTGCGTCGGGTGGAAGGTGCGTCTGTGTGTGTCTGAGCCGCTGCTGCTGCTGCTGAGGGCGGTGGGGGTGAACGGCAAGGGGCAGTGGGGGCGCGTGCTCAATAGCGACTTAGGGATTGAGAGGAATGCCGCAGTTGTCTCAGGTGTGTAGGGTGGAAGGGTGGGTGGGACCGTGGGGGTTGTGGGTATGTTTATGCCTCAGCTGCTGCCACTGCTGCTGCTGCTGAGGGCGGTGGGGGTGTACGGCGAGGGGCAGTGGGGGCGCGTGCTCAAGAGCGACCTGGAGATTGAGCGCAGTGCAGCCCAGCTGTCCCAGGTGCGTCGGGTGGAAGGGTGGGTAGGTGGGTGGGTGGGCAGGCTTGCAGTGGGCGGGCGGACAGCCGGGCGGGCGGGCGGGCGGACGGAAGGGGGGGGGGATGATGGGCTGGTGCATTTTATGAAAGTGGAAGTATAAGGTTGGGGGTGCTGATACCAGGTCCATTTCTCTCTTCCATTGCTTGCTTCTCACTGTCTGTCGCCCTCCCTCTCATCTCCCTCTCTCTGCTCTTTCCCTTACTCCTGCCCTCCTGCCAGCGCTGGTACATCCTACGCAGACATATTGAGACGGAGGGGGTGCCGATCCCAGATCTATTACTCACTGTCTCCCTCCCACCCTCCTCTCGCTGCTCTCTCCTCCCACCCCTCTCCACCCTCACATCAGCGCTGGTACATTCTCCGCAACAAGTTTGAAACAGAGGGAGTGCCGATTCTAGGTCCTTCCCACCTCCCTCTCTCTGCTCTCCCCTCCCCTCCCCGCACCTCATGTCAGCGCTGGTACATTCTCAGCAAAAAGTTAGAGGAGGGGGTGCCAATCCACGCCCACTACTCACTGTATCCCTCTCTTTCACCAACCTTTCTGCTCTCCCCTACTCTCCCCACAACTCACGCCAGCGCTGGTACATTCTCCGCAAGAAGTTTGAGAAAGAAGGAGTGCCGATCCCGGGCCGCAAGGCGAGGGAGGCCCGGGAGGCAGCAGCGAGGGAGGCAGCAGCTAAAGAAGCCGCTGCCAAGGAGGCGGCGGCTAAAGAGGCGGCTGCTAAGAAGGCTGCTGCGAGGGAGGCCGCTGCTAAAGAAGCAGCGGCGAAAGCAGAAGGTGCTGCGAGGGAAGCAGCAGCAAGGGAAGCGGCGAGAGAAGCAGCGAGGGAGGCTGCAAGGGAAGCAGCAGCTAAGGAAGCTGCAGCGAGAGAAGCAGCAGCTAGAGCGGAGGCTGAAGCTGCTGGTAAGGCAGGAGAGGGTGGTGTGGGAGGGGAGGCAGGGGATGGGAGTGGGGCTGGGATGCAACAGCAGGAACAGCAGCCAGCGCAGCAGAGAGGCACAGCGAGTAGCAGTGGTGGTTTGGGGGAAGGTGGGGGTGTGGTGGGGGAGAGGAAGGAGCACGAGATTGGATCCCTGCACATGCAGGGGCAGGGGCAAGGGCAGGGACAGGGACAGAAGCAGGGACAGGGACTGGGCCAGGGGCAGGGACCGGGGCAAGGTCAAATAGACGTTTATTCAAATCCCATCAGGCACACACCACCATACTCTAGTGGGTACCCTCACTCCACACTCTCTCACGCTCCCCCACACGCTCACACTCACACTCACTCCCTCACACCCCACACCCACACCATGCACCCCTCCATCCCCCCCAAGTACCCCCCCTCCACGTCAGCATCCAACCAGTGGGCGCACAGAACTGGATCTGCTGCCGTGCCAGGTGGCAGTTCGGGATTGGCCCGTGGGGTGGCTAGTGGGGCGGCAGGCAGGGGTGCGAGTGGGAAGGGAACAGGCAGGCTGACATCAGCACAGGCATGGGCGCAGCAGCAGCAGCAGCAGCACCAGCAGCACCAGCAGCAGCAGCAGCAGCTGCAGCAGCAGCAACAGCAGCAGCAGCGGCGCATAGCAAATGCTATGGGCCGAGGCAGGGGCTTTCCGAGAAACTCCCCATACACTTCCACAGCCGCTGCTACAGCCGCCGCCGCCGCCGCTGCTAATGCTGCCAAATCGGCGACAGCTGGCGGTTATTCACCCGGTGGGCTTCCGGGCGGCAGAGGTGCTGTGGCAGGGGCGGGCGGGCGGGCGGGAGTGGGCGGCGGTATGATGGGCAGGATGGGTGTGGGGAGAGGACGAGGGGCAGTCATGGCAGGAGCTGCTGCAGCAGCAGCAGGAAGAGGGTCGGTGTCAGGCTCGGCAGCAGGAGTAGGAGCAGCAGCAGGAGGTATGGGAGGAGCTGGAGGAGGGGCGGGAGGAGGTCCCAGGCCTGGGAGTGGCTCAGTAGGTCGGCTATCCCTGCACCCTCACTCCTCCCACCCCTCCCACGCCTCCCTCTCCTCCTCCCACTCCCCTCACACCTCCCTCCCTCACTCGCACACACCTCTCGCCCCAGACCCGCTGGTGCAGGCGGCAGCAGTGGCAGCAGGGGCGCGGATAGCACCTCCCTCAGCTGCCGCCTCCCTCATGCAGGCCGCTGCAGGGAAGGCAGGTGCGCCTGTGGTGGTGCACCACATCACCCGCTCGCCCCATACCTACGGATCAGGCTCGGCAGGAGGTTTTGCGCCTGGCGGTGGAAGTTCGGGAAGGGGTGCGGGAGTGGGGGCGGTGGGAGGGGCAGGCAGGGGTGGGGGAGGGCAGAGTGGGAGGGGGAGAGGGGTTGCTGCTTCTGCTGCCGCTACCGCCGGTGCTGCTACAGTTGGTTCAGGGGGAGGGAGAGGAGGGGTTGGGGGAGTGGGAAGAGGGGTAGGTTCGTCTGTGCCAGGTGGCCAAACCCCATTGGCTGGGAGTAAACCAGTAGGGCAAAGTGCTGCTTCGGGAATGCCAGTAGCAGGCGCACAGGGGGGCGCAGGGGGAGGTGCAGGCGCACAGGGGGGCGCAGGGGAGGTGCAGGCGCACAGGGGGGCGCAGGGGGAGGTGCAGGCGCACAGGGGGGCGCAGGGGGAGGTGCAGGTGCCCAGGGCTGTGCATCCCAGGGCTGTGCATCCCAAGGCTGTGCAGCCCAAGGCTGTGCATCCCAAGGCTGTGCATCCCAAGGCTGTGCAGCCCAAGGCTGTGCATCCCAAGGCTGTGCAGCCCAAGGCTGTGCATCCCAAGGCTGTGCATCCCAAGGCTGTGCATCCCAAGGCTGTGCATCCCAAGGCTGTGCATCCCAAGGCTGTGCATCCCAAGGCTGTGCATCCCAAGGCTGTGCATCCCAAGGCTGTGCATCCCAAGGCGGTGCATCCCAAGGCGGTGCATCCCAAGGCGGTGCATCCCAAGGCGGTGCATCCCAAGGCGGTGCATCCCAAGGCGGTGCATCCCAAGGCGGTGCATCCCAAGGCGGTGCATCCCAAGGCGGTGCATCCCAAGGCGGTGCATCCCAAGGCGGTGCATCCCAAGGCGGTGCATCCCAAGGCTGTGCATCCCAAGGCTGTGCATCCCAATAGTGGTATCAAGCTCAGTCGATGCACTGGCAACTGCCGGTGCTGCTGCTGCTGCCGGTGCTGCTGCTGCTGCTGCTGCTGCCGGTGCTGCTGCTGCTGCTGGTACCGCCGGCTGCTGCTGCTGCTGCTGCTGGTACTGGTGGTGTTGCTGCTGCTCCCGCAACCAATGCACCACACCTCGGTGTGAGACAAGGTACGCCGGCCAGCTCGGTAGCACCACTGCCAGTGGCGCCAGCTAAGACTCATGCACCTGCTGCAACTGCTGCTGCCACTCTTGTTACCACTGCTGCTGCCGCTGCTGCTGCCACACCCGCTCCAACCTCCACCCCCTCTGCGCCTGTGCCTACAGCAGCAGCACCACCAGCAGTGCCAGCACATGTGCCAACAGCAACACCACCTGTTTCAGCAGCGCCAGCAGCAGCAGCAGCTGCCGCTGCGCCTCCCGCTGTTGACTCGCCCAAACCGCATGATGCATCCTCCACGCGACTCAGTGCACCAACCATTAATGGCTGTACACAGTGCTGTGCAATCTGGAAAGGAGAACCTGACTTCACAAAATACGTACATGGCACGGTTTTAGTGGAGCACAAACAAGTGGCCCCCACCATCCTAACCATAGCTCCTCCAATACTCCAAGAAGAGCCTCTTGCTCTTCTGAAATCAGTGTTGCTCACAAACAGAGTGTTGAAAAATATCCAAGGTTTCTTTGCTTCCTGGCATGCAAAAGGGAATCGTCCCCCTTCGACTCCAACATACGGTAAAAGCATGTGTGTGGCCGACTGTGCACGAGCACGGCGAACACCACACCAAAACAGGGCCCAAAATATCAGGGTAAAACGCCCTGATTACCCTGGGGGCCGGCCGTTTTTTCAGGATTACCCTGCCAAAATCAGGAATGCAAGATAGTTACCCTTCTCAAGAAAGAGCATGTTTTATTTCACCCTGATTGGTTTTTAGGTTAGCCTGACGGAATCAGGGTTTCGTATACACTACCCTTTTACCGAAACTTTCCTAACGCGAATCTGACAACAGTCCGCGTGGTGACAAAATGTACCACACCCCCACAAACACCGGTTGTCGCTTGTGACCACGCGCAAAAAAAACTTGCTTCGCTGTCGGCAACGCGCCATGTTGCCTCATTTGTTGTTTCTCCCGCAGGGCTGCCAACTCATTCTCGAATCTTGCCACCCGTCGCCACGCCCACCGCCAACACAGCAGAATTTGCTGTCAAGGACAGCTTCAAGCTGTCCTTAACAACAGATTGCAGCAGCAGTCCTGCCTTGCTGGCCATACACTTCCGGCCGCGTGGAAGAAACGGCCCTTGAGAGGCAGCCAGAGGCTCGTTCTCTACGAGGGGGTCTCTCGCTCTCCCCTCATTCCCAACCATTCTCAACTTTCAGCTCCACAATGCCCACTGGAGAGCCCGATCCACCTGATGGCGTGAGAAACGGCCTCTCTGTGCTGGGCATTTTACCATGCCTTAGCGAGAACTACGCCATGCCCATCGCTCAGCCGTCGCCTCGTGAGCCGTCACCAGAATGTGTGGTAGGAACGGTTTATCCGTTCGAGCCGCCAGACTCACCCACGGCGTGGGAGCCACATCCTGACATAGAATTACGGTAGTTCCCGGAGGTGGCGAGGGCTCGTCAAAGCCGCCTACAGCTTCGCCTTCGACGGTCAGCACCGCGCCCGTCAAGCGACCGCGTGTGGGAGTTACGTACAAGCAGCAGACGCTCTGGGGCGCCCCTCCTCCCCGAAACGCTACTTCCCACAAGCGCCCTGCTCCTTCGGCCGATCCGAAGCCACCCACCGCTCTGGCGGATGCTGAGTATGAATCGGTGAAGAAGACGTTTGAGGGTCAGTGGGCAGGTAGCTTCAAGTGGTTACGTTTGCTCCGCATGTCTAACGGCCGTCCGTCTTTGAAGTGTGCGATTTGTGTGAAGCATGGAGATCCACTAGCGCACACCGCGTACGGGGCGAAGGGTGAGGGTGCTCGGGATCTCCAGATTGGCAGCATCCGCACTCACACCTCCTCCCGTGCACACAAGCAGTCGTTGGAGAATCAGGAGAAGGCGGAGGCGGAGAGGGCGAAGCAGGCCACAATCACACGATGGCAGACCACGGACGCTTCCACTCGTCACATCATTCGGCTCCTCCACATCGCGCACTTTGTCTGCAAGGCCGACGCACCCATAGCGATGTTCGTCCCGCTGTGTTGGTTTCTGGCGAAGGAGGGGTTACCAGACCTTCCTCCCGCTGGCGGCTACGGTGCGTACTACACAGGGTAAGTGGTGGCCTGAATTGGTGATACTGGTGTGTTCTTTATTATCCACTTTGGTATTTGACCACCTTTGTTGTCCCCTGGCAGTTACGGCTTCAAAGAGAACCTGCGCGCCCTTTCAACATACCTCCAAGAGACACAGCGCCTGCACCTGCTCGAATCCCCGTGGATAGGGATTCAACTCGACGAGAGCACGGACCGTGTGAATGGGAAACACCTCATTCTGTACGCCACGTTCTTCCAGTGCACCACGGTGGTTACAGAGTTCTTGACAATCATTACTGTTGACCGTTGTGACGGTGCCTCACTCACATCCGCTGCCATGCAGTATCTGACAGGTATCGGGGTCGACCTCCAGAAGATATCCAGCGTTGCCTCCGATGGTGCCAGCGCCATGGTCGGCAAGAACCGAGGAGTCGTGACACGGCTTCGCATGCGCATTCCGCATCTGGCCTCAACACATTGTATGGCTCATCGGTAAGCATCGCCGTTCTATGCTCCATGCTGCTGTTTTACCAAGTATTGATATTGACTAACCATCTGTCGTGTTGCCATTATATACAGGAAGGCACTCGCTGCCAGTGATGGTGCTGAAGAGGTACCTGAGCTGCTAATGATCGACGATGTCGTGCGCGCCTTCGCTGACCACATCGGCCGCAGCAGCGTGGACTACGCGAAGTTTCAAGAGATGCAGCGGATCTTCTGCCAGACGAATCTCGAGGCGCAGGGGATTAGCGACACAAGATGGCTCTCCCGTGGTGAAGCGATACAGCGCCTGCTCGACGTGCTCCCTGCGGCCATAGTGGTGATGAAGGATTACAAGGCGGATCTGTACGAGGTGGTTACCTCGTTCATATTCCACTGGCTCATCCGCTTTCTAGCGGATGTGCTCTGGGAACTTAACTGCCTTAACCAACGCTTCCAGCAGCGGCAGGTAAGGTCTTTGTGTTCAAGCACGTGCTGTCATGCCTTTGTGCAGGTGGACGTTACCCTTGTTGCGCACATCGTGCAGCAGACAAGGATGCGTCTGAAGTCGCGGTATTCCCTCCGCGACCCTGCACACCATTTCGGCAGCGGGGATAAAATGCAGCTTCCCGAGTTCATTCAGAGGCACGGGGCAAGGGATAAGCGCGAGATGAAGGCGGAGGGCGTAGACGGGGACGGGAATCCCGTCACGTTTGAGTTTACGCTGCACGAGCGCCCGCTGCCAGGACATGAAACGGATGGCGATGTCACGGCGTGCGTCGAGCTGTCGATTAAGTATGTGCGCGCCATCGATGCCGAGCTGGAGTGGCGGATGCGCGAACTGGAGCTGCTGGAAGGTTCGAAGCTGTTTCGCACAGCTTCGTACGTGTCCGACGACACGAAGCGACTGGAAACCTTCAAGAAGTGGCTCAGCCAGCTGCATAAGTTGTACCACCACAAGTTGCCAGGTAAGCCTTGTGCAGCGATTGCACATGTTATGATGTGTGTTGTCGCAACTATGTCTTACATGAGGGTGACCAACGCACTTATTGCATACTGTTGCTTGTTGGACTAATGCCCCCCATCCCTACCCGTGTCTGCGAGCATCGGCCAAGCTTTCACCCCCAACCCCGCCCCACCACAGGGTTCGACTACAAGAGAGCCCAACATGAGCTGTGGATGTTTACATCCACAATGTTCGCCCAGCACAACAATGAAGAATTCCATCAGGCGCTGACGAACATGCTGCGGGATGATGCATGGCGTGTCTCCTTCCCCAACATCATGCGGATGTGGCAGTCAGTGGCCGTGCTGCCATTGAGCACGGTTGAATGCGAGCGTGGCTTCTCGAAGCAGAATCTGATCAAGACTTGAGGATGTGGCAGCCTTGGCGACACAAGCCTGGAGCATCTGATGCGTTGCTCCCTGCTGCGGTACGATGTCGACTGGTTTGAGGTGGTCGCTATCTTTCGTGGAGAGAAGCTGAGGCGATCCACCAGGGAGTTCGACCCCACCAGAGCTTCGCAGACTCAGTTTGTAGAAGAAGATGTAGGCAGTGGGGGTGGCACTGAATAGGTGTGTAGTGAATGTGTGGCTTCTGTAGAGTTCAAGGACTTTGGATGTGCTACGTTATTATGATTTTATAAAGAACTTAGCTCACAAAACGCTAATCAAAACAGGCTTAGCCTAAAACCACCCTGCTCAAATCAGTCTAGTGGTTGATATACCCTGCTGCCAACAGGGTACGGAAAATTTTACCCTAGGGGTCTGTTCAAGGAGGGGCTGGAACCCTGATTTGTAAGGGTATGCCTAAACCAATTTTGGGGCCTGGTTGATGAACATTGTTATAATAATGCACTGGGATGAATTGACTAAGGCAAACAGTGATACAAGTATGAAACCCTAAAGGGGTTGTACCCCTTAGTGGCTACCCCACTGCAGCCTACAGTATACAAATAACAAAATAACGTTTGACACACCCCCATAAGCAAAGTGGGGGAGAACAAGTGGTCTCAAGACCAGTCAAGAGAAGCAAGCTCAGGGTGGATCTCAACGTCACCACACATTCTGAGCACAAGCAAGGAGGGCCACAAGGCCAGTTCACGAGCACTGATATACAAGAGAGAGCAAGCAAAACAGCAATCACTACCTAGCAAGTGTAGGCATGCAGGTATATAAAATGTATCATAGTACAAACAAGGTCAAGCAGTGAGCAAATGCGAGAAAGTAGGCACGAGATTGCCGCTGATGATCACTAGGCGGAAGCGCCTTGGTGAAGATATCAGCTGTGTTCGCCCGCGTGTCCACGTAAGCAAGACGAAGCTGACCGCGCTGCTGTAGCTCTCGAGCAAGAAAGTAACGCAGAGCAATATGCTTTGTCCTGTGCTCCAGTCTGTGCTCCTGACACAAGGCAAGGGCTGCCTTGTTGTCGCCGTACAGAACTGGAGGAGAACGCGGCTGCTCTCCCAAGTCAGTCAGCAGGTAAGTGAGCCAGCGTAACTCCTGTGCAGCCATGGCTGTGGCGTAGATCTCAGCCTCACAACTGGAGCTGAGAACAGAAGACGAACGGGTAGACCGCCAAGAGACAGAACTAGAGCCAAGGCTGAAGGTGTAACCCTGCGACGACCGCTGCGTAGCCAGGTCGTCAACCTAAGAGGCGTCTGAGTGTTCAGTGAGGACAACGTCACCCCGTCCTCCAAGCACCAGCCCCATGCGCAGCACCCTCTTAGCAGCCTCCCAGTGCTCTCGCCTGTGCCTCCCAGGCGCAACGTAGCGAGCCAGGATGCTAAGAGGGTACGCAAGGTCAGGTCGTGTGCAAGTCATCAGGTACATGAGGCAGCCCACAAGCTCTGGGTACGGGCCACTCGGCTCTATGGTTCGTCCGAAGGTGGAGCTGAGAGCGAGTGACCGGTAGACAGAGGAGTGGACTGTGGTGAGGAGAACTGGAAGCCGAAGCGTTGAAGGACCTGCTGCACCATGTGTGACTGAGTCAGGGTGATGGTGCGGCGTGCTCTGTCCCGGGTGATCTGCAAGCCAAGGTAGCTGCGCAGCTCACCCAGGTCAGTGCACGTGTGTCTCTTCTGCAGCTCCGACTTCACAAGGGCGAGTGCCTCAGTGTCAGCAGTAGCAAAGACCAGGTCGTCGACGTACACGAGGATGTAGAACGGCGGCAGGGACGTGTCGGTGCGGAGAAACAGCGACGGGTCTGCAGTCGAAGGAGCAAACCCAAGTGCCGCAAGAGTCGTCCTCAGTGTGTCGTGCCACTCACGAGGTGCTTGCACAGCGGAGACCGTAGACTGGACGCCGAAGGCTCCACTGGGTACCGGGAGGGAACGACCCAGTGAAGCCAGGAGGGCGGCACAGCCAGATCTCCTCGTGCAGGCTGCCCTGTAAGAAGGTTGTGCTGAAGTCAAGAGAGTGAAGCTCGTAGTCACGCTGAGCGGCAACGTGCAGCAGCACCCGAAGAGTGGTCATCTTCGGGGTAGGGGAGAAGGTATGGAAGAAGTCAACTCCCTGTCGCTGACTGAAGCCTCGTGCAACGTAACGCACCTTGAAGACAGGCGGAGAACCCGGCGGCCGCTTCACCCTGAAAATCCACATGCCATCGACGATGTTCGCCCCAGGAGGGGGAACCTCGTCGACGTAGGTGCCTGTGGACTTCCAGGATGCCATCTCTGCGTCCATGGCTGTCTGCCACTGAGAGGAGTAGGGACCCGAGATCGCCTCTGTGATAGCAGCCGCAAGACAGTCGAGCTCCTCCTGCCTGTCCTCAAGGACGTCCGTGCCAAGAGCACACTCACCCCCGATGGACGGAGGACAGACAGACGCAGATGCAGTAACAAGACTGGCAGCGTAGTCTAGACGACACACAGCAGCAAAGTCAACGAGCTCAGCAACTAAGGCAGACGCAGCAGCAGACTCAAACGACGGGTCAGTGACAACAGTAGCCAGAAGGCGCGTGACTGTGGGACTGGGAGCACGAACAGCGTCAGACTCAGGGTCAGGAAGCTTAGGAAGAGAGGACGCAGGAGGAGACGGCAGTGGGACGCGCTGCGGAGCAGAGGAGGGACGAAGTGCCATGGTGTGAGTGCCCGGCACAGGAGGAGGACGCGGACGCGGGACACGGCGAGCAGTGCGAGCGACGCGAACAGGCGAGGCAGGACGAGACGCAGGCTCACGACGCTCTGTAAGCGAGTCTGTCTGCTCAGTGTAAGGAGAAGGAGCAGGCAGCGGAGAGCCACGCTGTAGCGAAAGACCAGTAGAAGACGGGAGGGTAAGAACCTGACGAAGCACGGAGTCAGGCGGCGGGAGAGACGACGGCGACGGCGGAGTGAAGAACAGACGCCGCTGCGCAGCACCACCAGTAGCAGCACCTCCAGAACCAGCGTCACCAGCTCCAACTCCTCCCGCCCCAGAGGCTCCAGGACCAGGAACTCCAGCGTCAGCGCCTCCAGCACCAGGACCTCCAGTCCCAGTGTCTCCAGCTCCAGCGTCTCCAGCGGCAGAACCGACAGCTCCAGTAGCCCCAGGACCAGCACCACTAGCCTCGGCAGCTCTAGCACCTCCACTACAAGCACCTCCGGGACCAACAGCACCAGGGGCTCCTCCAGCACCAGCAGCGTCGGAAGGTCCAGCAGTCCCAGCACCTCCAGCAGCTCCAGTGGCCGAGCCCCCAGCACCAGCAGCGCCACGCGAACGGCAGTAGCGTCGAGTGTACCACTCACGCAGCTGCTGCGGGGAGAGAGGCTCCTGCCGACCACACCCAGGCTCAGCACCCCCAGGCTCAGCACCCCCAGGCTCCACAAACTCAGGCTCAGAACTCCCAGGCGCAGCACCCCCAGGCTCCACGCACCCAGGTACAGCGCCCTCAGGCTCAGCACCCCCAAGCCCAACACGCACAGGCTCAGCACTCCCAGGCGCAGCACCTCCAGACTCCACGCACTCAGGTACAGCACCCCCAGGCTCAGCAGCTCCAGGCTCCACACGCTCAGGCTCAGCACCCCCAGGCTCCACGCGCTTAGGCTCAATACCCCCAGGCCCCGCACCCGCAGGCTCAACACCCTCAGGCCCCGCACCCACAAGCTCAGCACCCCTAGACTCAGGACCCCCAGCAGTACCTCCTCTAGCAGCACCAGAGTCACCAGTGACCTCGACAGGCTCAACCAGGGGAGAGGGGTCTACCTGGGAAACACCTGAAGGAGCAGGACCCTGAGGGGGGAGGGGGTCTACCGGAGGGGGACCTGGAGCGAGGAAGAGCGGCGGGGGAGGGAGAGAGGCAGTGCGGTAGGGGAAGAGACGGTAAAAAGGAACCGACTCGTCAAATGTGACGTCCTGAGAGGACAGAACACGGCGCGAGGTGGGGTGGTAAAACTGCCAGCCAGGCGCGTCAGTAGGGAAGCCAAGGAAGACGCAGGGAATGGCGCGAGCGGAGAGCTTGCCCGCGGAGGTATCACGGACAAAGGCACGAGAGCCCCAGACCCGGAAGCGCGACGCATCGCCAACCTTCCCCGTCCAACGCAGTGTGGGCGAGGTCTCCGGCAAGGAGACACGGGGCCAGAGGTTGAGCTGATGCGCAGCGTACCGGACCACAAACGGCCACAGAAAATGGGGAGCCGCCGCATGGATCATGGAGGTGCGAGCGATCTCCATGACTAGGCCAATGCGGCGCTCAGCAACCCCATTCTGCTGCGGAGAGGCCGGAAGCGTGAACGACTGGAGGATGCCCTCCCCCTGACAAAAGTCCCGCAAGAGGTCGGAGGAAAACTCACCACCTCTGTCAGAGTGCAGACGTAGGACGGGAAAGTCCGTCTGGAAACGGTCGCGGAGCTGGAGACGAACAGCGCGGATCCAAGGGATCAAGACAGCAGGGACTTCACCCTTGCTGCGCAAGGGGAAGACCGTGGTGTACCGCGAGTAGTCGTCAACAACCAGCAGACAGTACTGCTCGCAGCCCTGTCTCCGGACGCGGGCTAGGCCCCACACGTCCATGTGGAGAGTCTGCAGGGGAGCGTCTGTCGAGGGAAACGAGGAGGAGTGAGGAGCGGCACGCTGCCGCCCCTCGACACAAGGGAGACA